TTGTCCCATTGGTCACCAACCCATGGTGGCCTCCATGTCCCATTTGCCACCAGCCCATGGTGGCCCCATTGTCCCACTGGCCACCAGCCCATGGTGGCCTCCATGACCTCACCATGTCCACGATGTCGGCCGTGGTGACGATGGCGATGGCCGCCATGGCCCAGGTGTTGCGCGCCCATCGGGTCCGGTCGATCCAGGTGGAGAAGGCCACCAGCTTTTTGGGGAAGGCCTGCGGCGACAACCGCCGGACGGGGACGGTCACCTGATTTTGGGAATTTGGAAATTTTTGGGAACCCCAGAAGCCCGTCTCACCCGCGGGAAGATGGCGGCCGAGGAGCAGAGCGTCAGTCCCACCAGCAACGCCTCGCCCACCACGAAGGTCACGTAGTTGGTCACCAGCCTGCCACCGCCCAGGAGAAAGGTCAGCGGCGCCGACCCTCGCCGAACCGCGGCGCCGGCGCGGCGCCCGCCCTACCCGGGGTCGATGACGGCCTCCACCAGGGCGGTGAAGAAGAGGACGACGCAGGAGCAGCCGAAGGCGGCGCCGCTCTGCTTCTCCTTCTCCACCGAGTAGCGCGTCTCCATCTCGGGGTCGGTGAAGCGCAGCGACAGCCGGAAGGTGGCCTTGCCCTTCAGCCTGGCAAACGCCGGCATGTTGGCGCCGGGGCGGTGGGCAGCGGCCGGGATATCTCCGGGGGGTTTTGGGGGACGGAGGTGGCACCACTCACGCCTGGATGGACTCGCGCTCCAGCAGGGCCTCGTTGAGGAGCCGGTGGAGCTCCTGCTCGTTCTGCGCCGCGCCCGCCACGCGCTCGGCCAGGTCCCGCAGCCGCAGCCGGCGCCGCGGGTTGGGGAAGGACGGGTTGGGCGCCTGCGGGGACGGGGGATGGCGCGGTGGGGACGGCGCGGTGGGGATGGCGTGGTGGGGATGGCGTGGTGGGGACACCACGTTGGGGACGGCGTGGTGGGGACGGTGTGGGGACACTGCGGTGGGGACGGCGTGGTGGGGACAGCGTGGGGACACCGCGGTGGGGATGGCGTGGTGGGGATGACACGGTGGGGATGGTGTGGGGACGGTGCGGTGGGGACGGCATGGTGGGGATGGCGCGGTGGGGATGGCGCGGTGGGAACGGCGCGGTGGGGATGGCGTGGTGGGGACACCGCGGTGGGGACGGCGCGGTGGGGATGGCGTGGTGGGGACACCGCGGTGAGGACGGCGTGGTGGGGACGGTGCGGTGGGGACGGCGCGGTGGGGACGGCGTGGTGGGGATGGCGTGGGGACACCGCGGTGGGGACGGCGTGGTGGGGATGGCGCGGTGGGGACGGCGCGGTGGGAACGGCGCGGTGGGGACGGCGTGGGGACACCGCGGTGTGGACGGCGTGGTGGGGATGGCGCGGTGGGGACACCGCGGTGGGGACGGCGTGGTGGGGACGGCGTGGTGGGGACACCGCGGTGGGGACGGCGTGGTGGGGATGGCGCGGTGGGGACACCGCGGTGGGGACGGCGTGGTGGGGACGGCGCGGTGGGGATGGCGCGGTGGGGACAGCATGGTAGGGACAGTGTGAGGACAGTGTGGGTATGCCATGAGGACACTGTGGGGATACTGCTGTGGGGACGGTGTGGGGACAGCGTGGGGATGGCGTGGTGGGGACGGCGTGGGGACACCGCGGTGGGGATGGCGCGGTGGGGACGGCACGGTGGGGACGGCGTGGGGACAGCATGGTGGGGACACTGCAGTGGGGATGGCGTGGGGACAGCACGGTGGGGACGGTGTGGTGGGGATGGCACGGTGGGGACGGTGTGGTGGGGACACCACGTTGGGGACGGCGTGGTGGGGACGGCACGGTGGGGACGGTGCGGTGGGGACGGCGTGGGGACACTGCGGTGGGGACGGCGCGGTGGGGATGGCACGGTGGGGATGGCACGGTGGGGACGGCACGGTGGAGACGGTGCGGTGGGGATGGTGTGGGAACGGCACGGTGGGGATGGCGTGGTGGGGATGGCACGGTGGGGATGGTGTGGGGACACCGTGGTGGGGACGGTGCGGTGGGGACGGCATGGGGACATCGCGGTGGGGACGGCGTGGTGGGGATGGCACGGTGGGGATGGTGTGGGGATGGCACGGTGGAGACGGTGCGGTGGGGACGGCGTGGGGACACCGCAGTGGGGATGGCGCAGTGGGGATGGCGTGGTGGGGATGGCACGGTGGGGACGGTGTGGGGACAGCATGGTGGGGACACTGCAGTGGGGATGCCGTGGGGACAGCATGGGGACAGCATGGTGGTGACAGCGTGGTGGGGACACCATGCTGGGGACAGCGTGGTGGGGATGGCGTGGTGGGGACGCCATGGGGACATCATGGTGGGGACACTGCAAAGGGGACGGCGTGGGGACAGCGTGGAGACACCATGGTGGGGACAGCTTGGTGGGGACGCTGTGGGGACAGCGTGGTGGGGACAGCATGGGGACAGCGTGGGGACAGCACGGTGGGGACAGAATCGTGGAAACACTGCAGAGGGGATGCTGTGAGGACACTGTGGGCACCGTGTGGAGACACCACGGTGGGGACACTGCGGTGGAGACAGCGTGGTGGGGACAGTGGTGGGGACACCACTGTGGGGACACCGTGGGGACACCGCGGTGGGGACAGCGTGGTGGGGATGGTGTGGTGGGGACACCACTGTGGGGACACCGTGGGGACAGCGTGGTGGGGACGGTGTGGGGACAGCGTGGTGGGGACAGCGTGGGGACAGCGTGGGGACACCATGGAGACACTGCGGTGGGGACACCATGGGGACAGCGTGGTGGGGACACCACGGTGGGCATGGGGTGGGGACGGCGTGGGGACAGCGTGGTGGGGACACCGTGGTGGGGATGGCGTGGTGGGGACGCCGTGGGGACAGCGTGGTGGGGACACTGCAAAGGGGACGGCGTGGGGACACTGTGGGGACAACATGGGGACACCGTGGTGGGGACGGCATGGGGACAGCATGGGGACGGCATGGGGACAGCATGGGGACGGTGTGGGGACACTGTGGAGACACCATGGTGGGGATGGTGTGAGGACACCGCTGTGGGGACACCATGGGGACAGTGTGGGGACAGCGTGGTGGGATCAGCATGGTGGGGACACCATGGGGACACCACGGTGGGGACAGCGTGGTGGGGACGCCGTGGGGACACCACGGTGGGGACAGCGTGGTGGGGACACCATGGGGACACCACGGTGGGGACAGCGTGGGGACAGTGTGGGGACAGCGCGGTGGGATCAGCATGGTGGGGACGCCATGGGGACACCACGGTGGGGACACCGTGGGGACAGCGTGGTGGGGACGTCACCGGCACCTCGTCGGCGTCGTCGGCGTCGGGCTCGGCGGAGCTGCTCCGGCCGGGATCGGCGTCCTCGGGCGGCTCCGGGCTGAGGCTCCCGTTGGGCTCCGGCGCGGCCACCGGAGGGGGGGACACGGCGTGGGACGAGGTCAGGGACAGCTTCTGCGGGGACAGGGGCGTGGTGGGTGTCACCAGTGTCCCCAGTGTCACCAGTGCCACCCATCAGACCATGGATGACATCAGGGACAGCTTCTGTGGGGACAGGGGTGTGGTGGGTGTCACCGGTGTCCCCAGTGTCACCAGTGTCCCTGATCACACCATGGATGGGGTCAGGGACAGCTTCTGCGGGGACAGGGGCGTGGTGGGTGTCACCAGTGTCACCAGTGTCACCAGTGCCACCCATCAGACCATGGATGACATCAGGGACAGGGACATGGTGGGTGTCCCTATGTCACCAGTGTCACCAGTGTCCCTGATCACACCACGGATGAGGTCAGGGACAAGGACATGATGGGTGTCCCTATGTCACCATTGTCACCAGTGCCACTCATCAGACCATGGATGGGGTCAGGGACAGCTTCTGTGGGGACTGGCGCGTGGTGGGTGTCACCAGTGTCACCATTGTCACCAGTGTCACCCATCAGACCATGGATGGGGTCAGGGAAAGCTTCTGCAGGGACAGGGGTGTGGTGGGTGTCACCGGTGTCACCAATGTCACCAGTGCCACCCATCAGACCATGGATGAGGTCAGGGACAGCTTCTGGGGGGACAGGGGCATGGTGGGTGTCATTGGTGTCACCGGTGTCACCAGTGTCCCTGATCACACCATGGATGAGGTCAGGGACAGGGACATGATGGGTGTCCCTATGTCACCAGTGTCACCAGTGTCCCTGATCACACCATGGATGAGGTCAGGGACAGGGACATAGTGGGTGTCCCTATGTCACCGGTGTCACCAGTGCCACCCATCAGACCATGGATGAGGTCAGGGACAGGGACATGGTGGGTGTCCCTATGTCACC